AGGTTAATGTTTGGGCAGGGATTGTTGAAAACCATGTTTTGGTCCCTTTTTCATTGAGGGAAATTTGAATGGCGATAATTATTTAGCACTACTACAAAATGATGTGGTGCCAAGTTTGGCAAATTTATTTCCTGATCCAAGAAACCCTCAAGTTCCAGCAAATACCATATGGTTCCAGCAAGATGGAGCACCTCCACATTACCAAATCAATGTCCGCCAGTACCTCAACTTAACATTTCCAAATCGCTGGATAGGGAGGCGAGGATCAATAGAATGGCCAGCAAGATCACCTGATCTTACCCCATTAGACTTTTTTTTATGGGGCTACGTGAAAAATATTGTTTACAAAACTAAACCATGTGATTTAGATGACTTAAGAGAACGAATAATGCTTGCTATTAGATCGGTCACGCCTGATATGTTAATTAAGGTTAGAAGATATTTTTATTCAAGATTAGGATGTTGCCAAGACGTTCGCGGTGAGCATTTTGAACATCTACTTCATTGACATTCATATTTTTTACGTTATGAACAATTAAATATTACATATTGAGTGTATTGTAACAAATTTCGGTTATCAGTTATTTTATTTTTTTATGTTAATTTTTGCAATACATTAAAAACAATAACATTTTTGGATAGAGAATGAAGATATATTTCAAACGATATATCACAAGCCTATACTTCCCATTTAAAAAATTAGGAGTTGTAACTGTTACTTACTTTAAAGAATGTCAATTTATAATTTAAATTTGACGTGTTTCGGGATTTTCTATAAATATGTACAGTAATCGAAATAATGAATTTATTCCATTTGGCTTTTCCACACTGTATATTAGCAGTAGTAAAGAGACTTGGAAGTCAAAATAGTACAATTACAACCGGTCTCCTCTACTATTTACGTAGGTACTATTTGGAGCCAAATCTGTACTAGTGTACAAAACTTTTCCAGCGGTTTATCCCCCAGTTTCTAATTAAAATATATAAAAAAACAGCTTTCTCCAAACTACCTAATAATTAATATGTCTGAATAGAAAAAGCTCCTCCGCCAAAAAACAATAAATTACGTATTAACTACTAACATATCATCAAGCCACACAAGAATCTAAATCAAGTCGTTATAATTTATCTCTTTTTTTTTTCAAAAGCCAATTCGTCGTAAAAATTCCGAGCCCAAAACGCCGAGCAATAAAACCTAAGCGCACACATACGGTGGCATCCCACGAATCCAAAGCTATTTTAAAAGCCAGACTCACACCGCCAAAACGCTCAAATAACTCTCAACAAAAAACACTAAAAATAAACCCTCATACCGAGCAATGGGTCGAACATTGAAAATGACGTGAATAGAATGTTCAAATAACATTGCATTCCACCAAACGAATACTCGACGTGAAATGTTTGCGCAAATATCGTTCGTTTATTCATTTATACGATATTTTATTTTATAAAAACCATACCAAATCCTAATTGACTAAAAACAATTAACATACTTCAATCTTTAATAAAAATAATCATTATAAATACCAACAATCATCGTTAGCATCATCAAACTTAATTATATGCCGCGTTCAATACCCGGCTGGTCGACTATAGAAACAAACAACTGACGATCGATACGATAACAGTGTGCGCCTGCGTTTATCGCCAGAGACAGGGTCACAGAAGGCCATGTGTTCATAACAACAGTTCTGCAACACGATGATTTGAAAATCTAAGTGAAGCATGAGGTAGAGAGAGGATTAAAGAATCCGAGTGTATTTATGAGCTCCTGTTTTTTGGGTTGCATATATTTCGCTTATTTGGAGTATTTTTTATAATAATTCAACATTTATTGTGTATTAATTAATTCATATAGTTGATAGGATTTTTAAAAATTAAATTCATTTATGTTTAGATGTATTTTTAAGCATTTTGAAAAGCGAGAGAGTTTTTAGTATGCTAATTTCGGCGGTCATGATGTGGGCACTTTTGTACCTGTGCTGAAAGTAATATGTTTGATTTGGGCACTGTCCTTCATTTCGCCCAAATTAGGAAGTCGTGATTTGGGCACTCTTATTAATCCTCTACCTGAGATGTCCGACATGGATAAGTTATAAAAAAATACACTTCGGTGATAATCAGAAACGCATTAAAAAACGTAAATTACACAATTTCAACGAAACTAAATAATGTTAAAATACTACATTTATTTTCAACATCTTAATGTGTTTTTATTTGTTTAGGTACTATATTGTTATTAAAGTTACTAGAATGTAACTACATATCTAATAATTAGATTTTTATAGGTACCTAATGAATTATTTTCCAAAAATCACACATTAAATAGGTATAGGCAAATCCATCTCAACGAGACTAGATAATCTAAAGCAGTTGTCGCCAACCTCTCAATGTGTTGAGCTACTTTGTTAATTTTGGAATAAACAGCGAGCTACCCACACGGAAGCCACGTAACGCAACGTAAATGAAATAATCCACAGTTAATTTATCATTATATGTATTTAATTTACTCTTTAACTGGTAATACATAATACATAGGTACTAATAATAAACTAATTACAAAATAACTAATATTACTAGTACGTACTTGTTCATAGCTACATTCCTACCTACCAAACGAAGGTGTTTGAAAAATAAACACAAACTTTTATCCAGCCACAACGGCATGTCACGTAAGATTTAAAAATAGTTAATAATAACAACAGAAAAGTAACGCACTATCATGAACATAAACATTGAAAAATAAAAAAGCACGTTCAATGAGAAGGCTGACACTCAGACTCATCGATAATTTTTTTAATGTTTGTAGTATAATTTGATACAGCCATTCGAATACATATGTTAATCTGTAAGTCGATTGCGATATTTGTTCTTAATAAACTTCTTAATGGAAAAGAAGATTCACAAAAATAATGCTTTCACTTTCAAGGCAACACGGCATAGAACTGAATATTTGTCTTTACTTACAATAGGCCAGATACATTTGGTACTCGAGACTAACGATTTTAAGGCTAAATCATTTTGAAACTCAATTACTTCCGTTTCTGTTGCAGCGATGTCTTCGCCAAAGTTCTGCATAACACAAGTTGCAAACTGTTGGATATCAATTTCCATAAAGGGTGAAACAACAAACTGCGCTACAAAAGCCATTTCGTTGAAATCCTTAAAACGATTTTTGAAGTTATTCTTCAGGGTAGAAACTATTTCTACATGATATTTGCTGTCATAGGGTTCTAATGGATTTTGAGATATTTTTTCTGAAAGAATAGGAAAATGCTTGGCATCGCTATTAATTAGATTTTGTTCCCAAAACTTCAGCTTTTTGATAAATGCTTTTTTATCAGAAATCATTTCCGCTAGTTCTTTGTCTCTCTCCTGAAGCTGCAAATTAAGTTCGTTTAATTTCTCTGTAATGTCCACGAGAAAACCAAAATCTCTAAGCCAGATTGAATTTTCTAGTTCCGGAGTCGGTTCATCGCGTTGTTTGAAAAATTGAACTATGCCAGATAGGACATCATTAAAACGTTTCAGCGCCCGTCCTCTACTTAACCATCGGACTTCAGACTGAAGGAGTTGGTCCCCGTATTGACAGTCAGCTTCATCGGCCAAGGTTTTGAATAATCTTCTTTGTAACGCTTGAGCTCTAATCTTGTTCACAATTTTTACCACCAGTTTCATAAAGTTGTTTAGTTTCAGGAAATTTCCACATAATGCTTGCTGATGGATAATGCAGTGGTAACAGAGAAATTGCGGAAAAGTTTCATCTTTACGACATAACGCCACCAGACCCTTATCACAACCCACCATAGCTGGAGCGCCATCGGTTGTCAAGCCTACCATTTTCGATATTGGAATTTTCTCGGAAGAAATAATATTTTTTAAATGAGAAAACAACTCCTGTCCAGTAGTGTGTTCTTTTAGTGGAATAAACTTCAAAAGATCTTCTTTAATCGTAAAATCACTAAAAACCATCCTGACGAACACGGCCATCTGGGCAGTGTCAACGACATCTGTTGATTCATCCAGTTGAAGTGAAAAATAAACACAGTTATCTAAGTCAGTTCTTAACTATAAAAAAATATCATTGCTCATTACTTCTACACGTTTCATCACTGTATTAGCAGAAAGTTGCATAGATTTTATGGCTGAAACTATCTCGTCTTTATTTCTAAAGTTGGCAAATAACGAATTAACAGCTTCTAAAAACGCCTGTTTTATCATTTCCCCGTCTTCATAAGGTTTCTTTTTTGTGCAATTATCGGGGACACACGGTACGATGCTTCAGTTGCAGCCTTGTTTTTGTCGACTGTTCTTAAAAATATTGATTGTTGTCCAATTAACTGCTTTTTTAACTGTTTCAGTTTCTCCTTTCTGGCGGCAGAATGTAGTGGGAAAGATTTTTCAAAATAAGAATGTACAGTTTTATGATGTCTTTCAATATTTCCTTTTTTAGCGACGGAGACCGAAGTATTACATAACAAACACACATTTTTATCTTTAACTTCTGTAAAATATTATTTTTTGTTGTTCTCTACTAACCCAACCGCTGGACGTTGGTTATGCGTTCAGTTTTAAATTAAGCGCAATGTCGCCGCGCCGTGCGTATTTATCCCGTTCAAAGCAATCCTGATCGTTCTCGAACACTAACGCACTGGTCCGGCTGATCGGTTCTAGCCGATTCTAGCTTGATGGCGCTAGCGGCAGATCGCTCACCGCAACGTTGCCGCTGTTTATGTTTAATATTATGACAATTAGATTTTTTGTGGAATTTTCGGAAGCTTCTCTGATTTTTGCAGTTTGTATTTTTTAAATTAAAATCGTTGTGAGAGCTACCAGAATTACCTCCGCGAGCTACCGGTAGCTCGCGATCGACAGGTTTGCGACCACTGATCTAAAGGGATGGAATGTTATACATCGTTTATCGGTTTTTGAAAAAATCAGTTGCGTTTTGTTTGCGATACGGAAAGACCATCTTTTTTTTGAAAATGGATGTTTAAACTATGACTAGTAACCGCGGAAAAGTTCTTTTGGTGTATGACAGTTTTAAGTTAACTTTTCAAAAGGAACTAAAAAGCGGTGAATGTAGCAAGCGAACTTGCAGCGTTAAAATTTGGACGGTCGGCAGTGGAGATGAAAAAATCGTATCAAGAAGTGTCATTTTTGATAATTGTAACTTAGGTTGGTTGACAAGGAAACAAGATGGCTCGTATTGTAAACTTTGCAATACAGATATAAGATCCCACCGTGCTGATCTTATAAGGCATACCCAAACAACTAAAAACAAATTGCAGGCGAGAAAAATAGAAACTAACCAGCTTTCTCTTCAAAACTTTGGTGAGTAAATAAGTAGATTCATTCGTTTTGTTATTTGTTGTAAAATTATCTAGAAAGTAATGACATAATAAAATATAACGGAGTAATTAGCAAGAAACTGGTTGCTGATTTTTAGATGGATAGATAGATAACATATTTATTCCAAATTGGATACCTTTCAACGATAACTGTAGAAGAATCGGGGGCTTTTTAAGGTTTTAAATTTTACTCGTTATAAGTTCAAACACCTTTCGACTTAGGTGAATTTGTTACAGGTGTATCTGTTTCCACTGATGCGCTCAAAAGAAAAGAAATTATCTTAGCTACTTATATAGCTGCCCATTCCTCGATCAGAAGTATCGACCACTTGACTGACATATTGAACACATTTTCTCATTCACCAAGACCAGGATCTGCTTCTACATCCGCAGAAGGCCAAACATTTCATTTACATAAAACGAAGTGTGCAGCAATAATTCGGAATGTCATTGCGCCCTAGTTGACGATGTAGGTGACATGTTTTATTCTCTAATAATAGACGAATCAACAGATGTGAGCACTGAGAAGCTTTTGTGCCTAAATATTAAGTACTATTCTGTGAAAGATAACGATATAAAGGTTCAGTTTCTCAGCTTTATATCTGTTGTAAAAACCACAGATGTGTCTGAGTTTCTGTTGGCCAATATATTTGATGTTAAAAAGTTATTAGGTATTGGCACTGATGGAGCTTCAAATTTGTGTGGAAGAAATAATTGACTTTACACGGTTAGAAAAATTAGTTTTGGTTAAGTGTATCTGCCACAGCCTTAATTTATGTTCGTCTAAGGCTGCTGAAATATTTTCAGATGATATAGATATAGACTTCCTTTTAAGAGAAACCTACAATTGGTTTAAGAACAGTTCGCTACGAGTTAGTAAATACAAAGAAATTTTTAATACAATAAACCTAAACATTGAAAACAAATTTTATAGGTTTACACAATTATCAACCACTCGTTGGTTATCAAGGTACCAGGCTGTTGACAAAATTTTTTCACAATATTTAGAACTTGAGACATTTTTTAATATTCATGATCAAAAGGAAATATGTCATCAGGGGCGGTTTCTCCATTGGTTCATTTGTGCAGTGAACACCCAGTTAAATTTCATAAAAACACTTATCTTAAAATTACATAAATAACAAAAATATAAATTTATTTTAATATTTTTATTTTCATACGTGTTAATCTATATTTTTTGGTACATCATTGCCCTCTGGCTGATCGCGTCTCTGTGACATAGAATACCTAAGTATACTGTGTCTGTGGCGCATTATGATGAGTGAGCCTAACACGAGTGAGACGATTTGATGAATGCATAAAGTTAAAAAGAGAAAACAACACGCCAACATATCCTTCAAATGTCAAAAGAACTCATTAATTGGCGCGTCGCTCACAAACAAGGTTGCCAAACCAGTGTTGCCAGTCTAGTACAATTTACAATTGTACTAGATGTAGTAAATTTTGCTTGAGGCAGTGTTCACGTGTAAAATATATATATAAATATATTGTGTTCCTTGTTTGGGTTCGTTATCTATAAAAAACCCCTTTTTTCCTCTTCAATAAATTAGATGTCACTGCAAATAGAATTCGAAAAATCTGGTACATAACAAAAACATATTCTGGCAACACTGTACCAAATCAAACAAACTGTCATTCCGTCTACCTGGGGATCGGTTATATCGTGCGAATTTAGAGATGAGTAGTAATCCGTAAATGTACCTACTTAACACTTACAGATTTGCTAATATCCATCTCTAAATTCTAGTGTGACACCGGAACCACTTGGAACTTTAGAGACGTTGTAACCGAACTTTGATTTTAGTTCAAGGACGACTTACCCAACTCCGACTCAGCTGAGTTCTGTTTATAAATATGAACCTGAATATATTTGTATCCTTGTTTATCGATATATAAAATAAGAAAGTGAGAATACACTCAGTGAGACACGAGATCCCTTTACAAATTATACTTTTTATGGATTTTTGTGTTCCGTGAACTGAATTTTCGTTGTTTTGAGGTTGGCTGTACTGGTCTTAGGTTCTGTGTGAATTTACTAGTGTTTATGTACGTATCGTATTTGGTGAAATTTATAAAAACAAATAGACATAATTTCGAGAATCGAGTGCTTATAAAAAAGAATGGCCCACCTCGATCGGAGATAAACATTGTTCAAGAATGTGCCATAAGAAATAGAAAGTTTAAACATACTTTTAAGATTGAACAATATAAAAAAACTTCGTGGTTGTGCGGGTGTGATAAACAACATGCTTTGTTTTGTTTTCCTTGTTTAGTTTTTGCAAACAATGAAAATACTAAATCAGAAAGGACAAAAACGGGTGTTAGGGAATTATCTAATTTATCAGCAAAAATTAAAAAACACTTTTATTATTATTATTATTAAACTACTGAACTACCCAATGAATCGAGCAAAAACCTGACACTGATTATATTAGGTAAGCATGTTTTTGCATTATTTCTATAATTTAAACTTGATGTTTCTTTCTTGCACTGTATTAATCGAGGAATTAATATTTTAAAATATAACGAGCCACCGCTACCTTTAATTAAAAAAAATCTAATTAAATATGGGGGATTTAAAGGGGATTGAAATTAAAATTAAAATCAAAAAATCAAAAATGAAAAGCGATATCAACATTTTTAGTAAAAATCAAGCCCTATAAGGAGATGAGGCCTATTGATTGTGAAAACTATCTGGTAGAAAATGGGTAGTTAAGGGAGTTTGTTAAACTGCGAAAAGTATCATTTAGAATGCCAGGCATTATATACCTTTATTCTAGTTTGTATTTGTGTAATAGTATGTATTGTGATAGGACTGATCTCATAAAATAAACATTTAAAACATTTTAGTTCTTATTTTATATAAAAGTTATTATTTTAAAAGGTATTTAAAAAATATATTTTTTATTTGACATGTGTGACAAAATGTGAAAATGATTAAATTTACAATAAAAACTGAAAAATGGTAGGTAAAGTTTCATATAATATTTTTTACACAAAAATCAATGTCAAGCTTTCTACATAACCTTATATATATTTAAAAATAATCTCAAATTATGAAGAAAAGTCAGTTAACTAATAATGTTTATAGGTGGTTTTCAATGTATTAAAAACAAAACAAATATCACACTAACTAAAATATTCATTTATTAATAGTTATAGTGCTTGAAAATAGTATGATGTTGATAATAACTACATTTATTACAAACTCCAATAATAATAAAAACAGCGATATTAGCTCTTGTACAAAGTTTTGGGCCGAACTTACAAAAATGATCAAATTATTGGAAAAAGTGAACACCCATTTCAAATTACCACGAGCCGCCACTGTATGTCATACAGCAAAAATTTTGAGTGACATCTACAAAAACAAACGAAATAAAGTATTACACCTATTTTAAAACAGATTTATAACTTAAATCTATATTATCAAGCTTCGCATATAGATTTCTATCAAGCATTTACTCCAATACTGGCCAATGGGAAAAGCTCTCAGCTAATCATAACAATTTTATTGTAGATAAGCACTGCTGTAGCATTTTGCTTTACTACATTGAGAAAAACGCTTCAGTAAGAAAGTGTTACTACTAAAAAGTTTTTACTGCTACTGTTAAATTGTCTGACAACAACTGTTAGAAACTAAAAAGAAAGAAGCTAGAACAAAAACTTTAGAAACGTGGCAGAGAAAATGGGAAACATGTGAAAAAGGAAGATGGACGTACACACTCATACCTAATATTGAAAAATGGAATAAACGAAAACTTGGAAACGTCACATTTCATATTACTCAATGTCTAACTGGTCACGGCTGGTTTATGGATTACCTGAATAGATTAGATGTGACTAAGCAACACGATTGCATGTACTGTCCGAATGTGGGTACAGTAGAGCATACCCTGTTTCAATGCGAAGAATGGAGAGAGAGATTAGGCTAGAGCTAGAAGAACGTATTGGAATTAGGCTCTTTAGAGAAAACATTTTAGACGTCATGACCAGTAACATAGAGCAATGGCAACAGATAGGTAACATGATGAAAAAGATACTGGGACAAAAGGAGATTTTAGAAAAAGAAATATATGAGCATACCCTAACAACTTGTTAGGAAGTACCTGCGACCATCCCTACATCACGTCTCTTCGAAGTTATGCCGACTGGTGATTCCGAGGAGACTTTCCTGTGAAAAAGAGTGGAGGTTATTTAGTCGGTAGAGATCCGGCACTATTAGAGGTCTTTTGAAGATTTTGTTACCACTCTTAATAAAAAAACAACTGTTAGATATGTTACTAGGACTGTAAACTAATTCTTCCAGTCCAAATTCTTACCGTGGCAGTAATATTTATTTACTACTCTAGTTAGAAATAGAATTATATTAGTCGTATTACCATCACAGTAAACTTTTCTTACTCAATTAGAAATTTTTATTTAATAAACTGTTTCTTACTACCACGGTAAGAATATTTTTCTGTGTAATGTTAGCTACGTGCTGACATCTACAATCTCTTTTGTTTCATTTAAACCATGACATTCAAAAAAATATGAGATAAATATATTTACTCTAAACTGGTCACTGACTAAAATCTAAAACCTGCAATATTTGTGTTAGCCGAGAACTTCATTATGCATATAATTCCTGCATTCTCGGTCCCTTATTTACTTTTCTCGTTAACACCAGTCTATAGATATTCAAATCTCCGACACTGAGTTAAGATAATTCTACTGCAAACATGTCGCTATAACGCGCGACAACCAAAGTAAACTTGTTTGTTAATTAATTTTCGTTGACTCGCGATTTCTCATCTCCTTCTAAACACAAAGATCTACTGCATTAGCTCTATGTCTGTTCTTATCGCTCGGGTCGAGCTTTCCCTCTTTAATGACGCCATTATAATTCAATCGTAATTAGCAGAATACGCTTTCGCTTTGGTGAATGCCTGTAATTATACGTTGAGGTTATGCAGGCACGGTCGAGCAAAAACGGATTTGTAAAAAAAGGTTTATAGTTACTGGTTCGTTGTATAACACTCAATTTATCTATAGGTTTCGTTTCAATCTAATCATCGTATGTCAATTTTACTGATAATCGTTGATTAAAATTTCTAATATCAAATTGGTAATGAAACTTTTATAGTTATACGAAAGATGTTCTATAGTTCCGTGCAAAATCAAAATGATGACAGTGGTTATGAGACGGAAATTTTCGAACAAATAAGTAATATTATTAGACAAGTGCGTTTTATTTCAGCTCAACGAAGCCATTTACAAGTTTAATACAAAAAAAATTACAATACTAGGAAATAAAAAGAAATATACTCTACACAGGAACAAGGCGTAAATTTTCGTAGCCCTCTTAAATGTAAAAAAGGTGTATCTGAGACCCACGAGCGTGAGCGACGTTGCCAGTAACATATACCAACGGAAAATATATTAAATGCCAGATTAT